GGTGACCGAACGGCGCCGGGGGCGGCTGCTCGTCCCGCTCCCGGTGACCCGACGGTGACCGATCGGCGCCGGGGGCATCCGCTCGTCCCGCTCCGGTGACCCAACGGTGACCGAATGGCGCCGGGAGCGGCCGCTCGTCCTGCTCCCGGTGACCCAAAGGTGACCAAACGGCGCCGGGGGCGGCCGCTCGTCCCGTTCCCGGTGACCCAACAGTGACCAAACGGCACCGGGGGCGGCCGCTCGTCCTGTTCCCGGTGACCCGACGGTGACCGAACGGCGCCGGGGGCGGCCGCTCGTCCCGCTCCCGGTGACCCAATGGTGACCGAACGGCACCGGGGGCGGCCGCTCGTCCCGTTCCCGGTGACCCAAAGGTGACCGAACGGCGCCGGGAACGGCCGCTCGTCCTGCTCCCGGTGACCCGACGGTGACCGAACGGCGCCGGGGGCAGCCGCTCGTCCCGGTCCCGGTGTCCGTGATGGTTGCCAAATGGCACCAGGGCAGCCACTCGTCCCGTTCCCGGTGACCCGACGGTGACCGGCACCGGGGGCAGCCACTCGTCCCGTTCCCGGTGACCCGACGGTCACCGAACGGCACCGGGGGCAGCCGCTCGTCCCGCTCCCGGTGACCAAACAGCACCAAGGGGCATCCGCTCCTCCCGGTCCCGGTGTCCGTGATGGTTGCCAAATGGCACCGGGGGCGGCCGCTCGTCCCGTTCCCGGTGACCCGGCGGTGACCAAACGGCACCGGGGACGGCCGCTGCTCCCGTTCCCGGTGACCGAACGGTGACCAAATGGCACCGGGGGGCATCCGCTCTTCCCATTCCCGGTGCCCACGGGATGGGGACCATGACGGTCACTGAACAGCACCGGAGGTGGCCGCTCCTCATGCTCCCGGTGACCTGACGGTGACCGAACGGCACCTGGGACGGCCACTCATCCCATTCCCGGTGGCCGCAGGATAGGGGCCGTGACGGTCACCGAACGGCACCGGGGACATCCGCTCCTCCCATTCCCGGTGCCCACGGGATGGGGGCCGTGACGGTCACCAAACGGCACCGGGGACATCCGCTCCACCCGC